TCTGAGAAATAAATCCATAAAAGAAGTCACGTAAATTTTTTAATATTTTATAAAATAATAATAATATAAATGTATTTATATTTTAATACTATCATAATATCAAATATAAAATTGTCAAAAACATATTTATAAATTTATTATTTATTATACACATTTAATAAATGCTAACTTAAACAATAATATAACACAACTTGAAGCAAAAAAAGTTTTCATAACTAAAGACTGTTGATTTAAGTACATTTTGCAATTTTATTTTTTTAATATTTTATTTCACTGTTTACCTGATTTACTACTCTTTAATAAAAAATTATTGAAAATAAAGTTTTAATATATAAAAAAAATAGTACAAAAACAATATGTTGTCTTTTTTATTAGATAATGTCCAAGCATTAAATGTTCTGAGACTACTGCTGTTGTGTGAATAATTATTGTTGTATTTATTAATTAAAAAAAAACAATTAAAAATATCATTTTGTTTTAATGTCAGAAACAATTATATGAGTAGGTAGATAATAAGGAAGCAACAAGAATTTAAAACAAGAATTCTAAGTTCATGAAAAGAAACAAAACAGAATAATTATCATAAAAAAACATTTTAACTGAATATAACCAATACAAATAAAATTAATAGAAAAAAAAAATCAAGACTATTTTATTTTTATTATTTAAGACTAATTTAATTTTAGTTAACAAATATAATTACTAGAAAGACAAAAAAACTCAAGACTACATTATTTTTATTATTTAATTTTAGACTAATTTAAGACTAATTTAATTTTAGTTAACAAATTTTTCATTAAGTTGAAGTATCTTACACAGATAAATAATCATTTAATCATTTTTCAAATATAGCATGTTTCAAATATATAATATATAGCAAGGAAGCAACAAGAATTTAAAACAAGAATTTAAATTTCATGAAAAGAAACATAAAAGAATAATTACCATTAAAAAAACATTTTTAACTGAATATAACCAATACAAATATAATTAATACAAATAAAAAAACTCAAGACTAAGTTATTTTTATTATTCAAGACTAATTTAATTTTAGTTAACAAATATAATTACTAGAAAGAAAAATTACTAGAAAAAAAAACAAACTCAAGACTAAATTATTTTTATTATTTAAGACTAATTTAATTTTAGTTAACAAATTTTTCATTAAGTTGAAATATCTTACACAGATAAATAATCATTTAATTATTTGTCAAATCTAACTCAAATAGTCAACTTTCCAACTCGTTTTCCAGACAACCCTAATCATTTACCTTCTCTACTCGACTTATGTCTTGTTTTGGATCCTAGTCAGTGCTCAATTTCTCCACATTCACCCTTAGGTACTTCTGATCACGGTTTGATCTCTCTAAAACTATTATCAAATTCTTCTACTTCATCAGAATCCCCCTATCATCGTACCACATACAACTACCTTAAAGCTGACTGGGACTCTTTCCGTGATTTTCTTCGTGATGGCCCTTGGGTAGAAATCTTTCGTCTTCCTGCTGACAAATGTGCTTCTTACATAACTTCGTGGATTCAGGCTGGCATGGAATCTTTTATTCCCTCTCGACGATTCCAGGTTAAGCCTCACTCTTCTCCTTGGTTTTCCTCACATTGCGCTGCAGCAATTTCTAATCGAAACCGTTACTTCCATATCTATCAGCAAAACAATTCTCCAGAAAACAGACATCTGTTCACTATCGCCAGAAACCATTGTAAAAAGGTTTTGTCTGACGCCAAAACTCGCTATTCCCAGGTCATTAAATCTCGTATCTCATCACAAAAATTAGGCTCTCGAGACTTCTGGAGAATCTTTAACAGTATCAATAATAAGGGCAAATCTGTTATTCCTTCTCTCTTGTATGGTTCAGACTTTGTCACCTCACCTAAAGACAAAGCTGAATTGTTTGCTAAGAACTTTTCATCAATATCATCTCTTGATTCCACTAGTTGCGTTTTACCTGACATAGCCGTCAAACAGGTTGATCCCTTGCTTGACATTCGCATCACTTCAGCTTCTGTATCTAAAGTAATTTCCTGCTTAGACTCTTCAACAGCTTGTGGTCCTGACAACATTCCTGTTGTAGTTTTGCAGAGGTGTTCTCCGGAGCTTTCATCCATACTTTCTAAACTATTTAACAAGTGCTTATCAGAGTCTTGTTTTCCATCATGCTGGAAAGCAGCATCTGTTATCCCTATTTTCAAAAATTCCGGAGAGCGATCTGATTCATCTAACTACCGTCCCATTAGTCTTCTTCCTGTCATAAGCAAGGTTTTTGAATCTTTAATTAACAAACACTTAATCTCTCATCTTGAATCAAATAACTTACTTTCTGACCATCAATATGGATTTCGGTCTTCTCGTTCTACAGCTGATGTGCTAACAGTAATAACCGATAGGTTTTACCGTGCATTAAATAGAGGTGGAGAGGTTAAGGCTATCGCACTTGACATTTCTAAAGCTTTTGATAAAGTTTGGCATGCTGGTCTTCTCCATAAGCTTTCTTCTTATGGTGTAGCTGGTAACGTCTTTAAGATTATTGAGTCCTTTCTTTCCAATCGTAGTATAAAAGTTGTCCTCGATGGACAACACTCTTCTTCACATCCTGTAACTTCAGGGGTTCCTCAAGGTTCAATCCTTGGCCCTATACTCTTTTTAATTTACATTAACGATCTTCCAGATATTCTCACATCTAAGGTGGCATTATTCGCAGACGACACTACCATTTACTCTTGTCATGATAAGAAGCCTACACTCTCTGATTGCTTGGAGGGGGTATCTGAGCTTGAAAAGGATCTCACTTCTGCTACAGCATGGGGCTCACAGTGGCTGGTGAACTTTAATTCAGATAAAACTCAATTTTATTCGGCCAATCGTTATCGTAATAATTTAGATCTTCCTATATTTATGAATGGTAATGTACTAGATGAGTCATCTACCATTCATCTTCTAGGATTAACTCTTACTTCTGATCTTTCTTTTAAACCGTATATCAAATCCATTGCAAAACTAGCATCTGCTAAGGTTGCATCTCTTTATCGAGCTCGACACTTTCTTACTCCAGATTCTATTCTCTATTTCTATAAATCTCAAATCCGTCCCTGTATGGAATACTGTTGCCACATCTGGGGCGGATCTTCTAATGATGCTCTTTCTCTTTTAGACAAGGTGCAAAAACGAATTGTAAACATAGTTGGACCTGCTCTGGCAGCCAACCTTCAACCTCTGTCACATCGTCGTAATGTTGCTTCTCTTTCTCTTTTCTACAAATACTATAATGGGCACTGCTCTAAAGAGCTAGCGTCCCTTGTGCCATCTACTAAAATTCATTCTTGTGTTACTCGCCATTCAATTAAATCTCATCCTTTTTCTGTGACTGTTCCTAAGTGCTTCAAAAACTCTTATTCTTCTAGTTTTTTTCCTCGAACATCAGTTCTTTGGAATTCGCTTCCTTCATCTTGCTTTCCTGATTCATATAATTTGCAATCTTTTAAGTCATCAGTCAATCGTTATCTTGCTCTACAGATTTAGTCTTTTCTCTTCCAGTAACTTCCAACTCTTATAGTGGTTGCTTGCAGCCTTGTTGGAAGTGAAAATGTTAAAAAAAAAAAAAAAAAAAAAAAAAAAAAATATAGCATGTTTCAAAGCTAAATATACATTTGAACCAATCTTATAACCCCATAATGGGCAATAATCAGTTAAATTGTCAATTGGTATAGAAAAAGGTCTACTTGCCAAGTCGCATTCCACTAGTACCAACCCATAATTATATTTCCATTCAGAATGGTATTTTTTTAGCACAAGGCAAAACTGATTTTGACCAGAAAAAACAGATAAAATAATTTTTCCAAATATAAAAACTCCCTCGTTGTGATGTATTAAAACAAACTGGTCTCTAGTATATGTGGTCCCCTTATATGTCATTTTAAATGAACAAAACTTCTCTGTGTATGGAATAGCAGCAATTGCTTCTGTTATTTCAACTGAAAACATAGAGCCATCAAAACAAACAGCATCTGAACCACCGTCATTATTATTAGAAAATGAATTTTCGCTACATACGTATGACTGCAACAGTTGATGAGCCCCTGCTAAATGCTTTGTGATATTAATAAAATTTTGAGCACTTCTAGCAGATCTTTTAAAGAATATGTGCTTACTCTCCATTCTTAATGTCCATAGTCTTATTTGAGGTCCACACTTCATAATCAAAAATGGGTAATGATACATGTAGTGGTGTTTAGGACGAAGTGGAATATCAGGGAATAATTTTTTTCTTTGTTCAAGGTACTCATTAATTAAGTGTTGCAAAAATAAGATTTGAGATAATGAAACTTTACTTGCACAAATGAGCTCTGTTATTTCTCTTAGCAAAAGTATAAGCTGCCATACAGCATGATTAAAATCAAAAATTCGATCCATTAAAAGCAGGGGAAGAAAACGTAAAAAAACCCAATTTTGAACGGCATGACCTTTTAATTTGTCACATTTAGATGTTAATAGCGCTGGACAATCTGCTCTGTCATCACCACGGAAAGAAAATCTTCTTATTGCACCATTAATATGTAAATAAGTAAAACAACCATCCTTGACTAGTTTTTTTATTGACAAAGCTAAATCATATTGAATGACACCTTCAAACAAATCATGTGCAATACAAGCCGGTAAACCTGGTGCACAAACATGATAGGAATCCAATTCATTGAATATAGAGTCTCTTGTCACACCAAAAACAAACCGATCTTCAGGTTTTGCCTTTAAAGTTATAATACAACTTTTATGATGCTCAACAGACCGTATAACAGCTGTATAAGGTAATGTTTGAAGCTCATTGCCTTTCAAAAGACAAAACCTGCAAATATGGCCTTTTTTAGAATTAAATCCAAGTGAATATCCACCTAAAAAATGACTACCTAAATTATCTCCCAAAATAGCAACAACACCAGCTTTATAAAGTTTTATACCAACTAGAATTCCGTCAACTTCAAGACTTTTC